TGATTTACGGTTTATGGCCATTACAATGAACGATAAATTTGACAAGTGTTGGGAGAATGTGGAAAAAGTGCATGTATGTTTTATTTTATCTTCTTTTATTGAGGCTTAAAGAAAGGGCAAACAATAAAAAGAGTTTTTAAGAATGATAGTATTTCTTTATTAGTCTTGCAAACATCCAAAAAAAACCCCTTCTTTTTACCTTGATAAAATTCTAGGCCACATATTTATAATCATGATACTATAGTTCAAGAATTTGGTAGAATGCTTTAATTCACTAGAGCCAACCATATTTATTGGCCAACTAGAGGAGAAAATTGAATGTGATATATTGATGGAAATTAGGAAGTTAACAAAGTTTGATCACGAAATGGATAGTCTCCATTAATAAACGATTGAAGTAGCCATATGAGAAAATGGAACAGATTAATGCCAAATTAGTAAGACTTTCTAGGGAAAGAAAAAAGAAGAAATAAGGAAATTGTAATGGATTCATCCAAAAAGTATCCTAGAAGCCAAGTAGTAAGGTCCCTAAATCTAAAGAAGAATCTTTTAAATGAAAGAGATTAAGTAGATTTATGCCAAATGAAAAAGATGTGTCCCTTTAATAGTTATCTTTTTGAAGTTGAGAGGTTTAACTAGAACCTCAAATGTTGCCTACATGCCAACTTAAAATCTCATCATAGGCAATTTGATGGAATCGAAGACCTTAAGTTACACTTGAGATAGTATGTTGTCATCTTACAACTTAAAGGCCAAACCATACAACAATTAATTGTAGCTTTCCTTATAACCTTGTTTGTAGCACCTCTAATTGGTTTTATAGCTAACCAAAAACCATAGCTAGAGATTGGGAAGAGATGACCCAAGCTTTTGTCAAGTGGTGCTTTTATAACACCTAACTAGACATTACCATTAGAGACCTAGAAACCACCAAAAAAATGCTCGACAAAATTCATTGAACTTTTAACTAGGTAATGAGCTAAGGCCACACAATCCTAAAACCTTCTATTAGTGTATTATAATCAGTTATTTGTATTATCACTTGCTACCTTTAAACAATTGTATGATTCAGGAATCAACATTGAGGATGCCATAAAAAGAGGAAATTGGGAAAAAAAACTTTACTTGAAAGACGAGAGGAAACAAACACTGTCGATACCATCAAGACTAAAGAAGTGTATAATTTTAGCTTTCCCTGAACTAACTGAAATTGCCAGTATACCACCCTTGAAATTCCACCCTCCAAAGCCTTGATCAAGCTTTAAAAGATAGGAAAATCATAGCTTTTCTCCCCAAAGTTTTCTTTTACAGTCCCATATTGATATTAATAAGTGTTGTGCTTACCAACAAAGAATAGGCCACAATATCAAGGTTGCATCACCCTTATAAATGCCATCTAGAAACTTATTGATGTTGAAAAAAATAAACCTAACATCACCAAAATTCCTCTATCCAATTACAAAATTGTTTCACTACTAATAAACATGTTCATGATAAAAGCCAATCCTATTCCACCAGTTTTACAAATTACCATTGAAAAGCTTACAAATTGTTGGTTCAAGCCTTAGATGTAAATATGGATGCTTGTTGCTTTTTATTTGGAAGCTCCAATTTTTCTAAGTACAACTTACAAGAGGTCAATAGCAAAGTAAGACAATAAAATGGACATTATTCAAAGTCATCAGATCTTGACTTCAATAATTGCTACTAGGCATTCTTTTTCCTCCCTTCTATGTTTAATTAATTATGTACATGTTAACTTCAATTGTTCTTATTTCCTACACATTTTTCCTCTAGTAAATTAATCGCACTTAATTACATATGGTTCTCATATATATGCTCAAATAATAATTGATATGTCCATTCATGAAACATGTGTGGTAAATAGATATTTGCATTGGAAAAGTTCAAGCTTGAACGGACACTATATTTATATTTTTATGTTATTTGAATAGTGGATATTTAATTTGAATATACATTATTTTGAAACATTTTAAAATAGTAAGATAAACATTTATAATATATTTGGTTGGGAGAATGGCTTATATTCCTAAGGAATAAATGTTCCTTTGTTTGGTTCCCGCACGCTCCAAGGAATAGCTAATACCAACATCTCCCATGGTATTAACCATTCCTTGGTTAAGAAATAGTCTTAAAAAATGATGAAGACTAAAATATCCTTTATAAGGTCGAAAAATTATATATTATATGTTATAAAAAATAATATTTTAAATTTAAAAATTAATTAAAATTATTAATATTTGAATCATAATAACATTTAAATTATAAATAAAATATGAATATTTTAAAACGTTAATGGTTACATTATAAATAAAATATTAATTTTTAAATTATCAATTATTAATATTATTATAAAAAAGAAAAAATTTTAAATTTTAAATTATATATTGTAAAAATAACATCTTAATTTTAAAAATTAATTATATTTTAATCATAATAACATTTCAATTATAAATAAAATATTAATATTTTAAAATGTTAATTAGTAAAGTATAAATAAAATATTAATATATTAAAATGTTAATGATTAAATTATAAATAAAATATTAATATTTAAACTATCAATCATTAATATTATTATAAAATAAAAAATTTTAAATATTTAATAATATATTATAAAAATATTTTTTAAATTTAAAAATTGATTAAAATTATTAATATTTTAATCAAAATGTCATTTAAAGTATAAATGAAATATTAATATTTAAATGACCAATTATTAATATTTTAAATTAATTATATATGATCAATATTTAAAAAATAAAATAAAGTAAAATATATAATTATAATAACATTTAAATTATAAATTAAATATTAATATTTTAAAATATTACTGATTAAAATATAAATATTTAAATGATCAATTATTAATTTTTTAAATAAATTATAAATTATTAATATTTAAAAAATTATATAAAATAAAAATAAATAATCATATATATGTAATAAAGGGTATTTTGGTCTTTTTATACTCTATTCATTTCTTATTTCATGGTTATTTTTACCTACCAAACACTACAATAGAACATAATAACTATTCTTGATCTATTCTATTTATTGTAACAAATTACGTAATAACTATTGTATTTAATTTCTACATTATTCTATTCCCTCAAAATTGCTATTTTATTTTATTCCTATCTATTCTGCTAACCAAATGTAACTTTAATGTGAATTGGAGAGAGTATAAAATAAAAGCAATAACAAGTAAATTCATAATTGATTCCCACCCCAAAAATTTCATAATTGAAAAATGAATGAGTAAAAAATATGAATTTTTTATTTTTAAAATGGGAATCGTTTCCAACTATATGAATTGGGAGAATAAATTTTGTAAGACATAATATAAAAAAACCCTTAAATTATTTAAAAAATTTTAAATAAACTCTTATTCTTTTATTGTGTTCAATCAAACTCTTATATTTTTTTGAACTAAATAAATCTTTATGACTAATGATTAATTTAATTAAATGCCCGTTGCCATTCTATGTCACGTGAAATTAAAGTGATATTTGATGTGTCTTAATAGATGATGATGTGACATATTGATATAACATGATCACTATATAATATTTTCACCCTACATATTAGTGCCATGTCAACACCACATGTATATAAAATGACAAGTAACATTTTGACTAATGACAATTAGTCAATTATTAGTCATAAAAGCTTATTTAATCAAAAATATAAATACATGAGTTTGATTGAATGTAAATAAAACATAAAAGCTAAGAATTTTGGTATAATATTTAAAAAACCCTCTAAACTATTTAAAAAAATTCAAATAAGTCATTATTCTTTTATTACGTTTAATCAAGTCCTTGTATTTTTATTTTAAATTAAATAAACTTTTATTCTTTATGATTAATGATTGAATTAATCAAAATATCACTTATTATTCTATGTCAAATGGGATGTTGAAATGTCATAATTCATAATGACATGACATATTGATTTATCATAATAAATGATGACATAACATATTATTATATTGTAATAATACAATCATATGATATTTTTCACCATATATAGTAATATCGTGTGAATATCAAATGATAAATAATATTTTTACTAATGATAATTAGTTAATCATTATTCACAAAGACTTAATTTGATTCAAAATAAAAATATATAAAAATTTATCTAATTGTTTTAAATAGTTTAGAAACTTTTTAACACATTATGTTTTGAATTTTCTTTAAGAGTTTAAAGACTTTTTTTTAAGCATTATACGGTTTTTTTAATTTAAAAAATAAAATTTAACATAATTGTATTATGTAGGAGGTAAATTATTTATTCGATGTATCTACTTTTCTTTCTGAATTTACTTTGTATTTATGAAAACATAGAAAAGAGGTAAGCAAAACCAAGCCACCAAAACAAACCAAAGAGAACATAAAAACAATCCATGAATTGAAAAACTTATTTGCCAGAGTCATGTGTTTGCATATCATATGTAATGATTGGCCGGCAAATTTAGGGGTCATCTTCAAATGAGAGTTGAAGAGGAGAGGAGGGATAGATCTTAACGCTTTCGCAAAGCAAGACAGAGAGAGAGACAGAGAGAGGGCATATATTAAAGGGATTGGTTCTGCTGTGATTACAGAAAGGCAAGCATCTTAGAAATCTCAGTCAAACTGCAAATCCATTGTCCAGTGGTCCTGTCTAGAAAACCAAAGGAGAGTTCAAACATATATTGATTACATTAGTTAAACATAAATCCATACCCAGTCAAACCTGTCTTGTGTGGAACATGACACAAGTTAAAACCTTTAATGTTATGACCATGGCTACCACCAAAATGGGACCCAACAAAGGCCAACAATCCATCCATCCATCAATGTTAAAATCAACCGAAAAACCCGGGATTGGAAAACCCAAAATCCGGCCTAACAACACCTCACAAACGCGGTTTCCTGCCATGTCCAAACACACGTATAAGCCTCTTTCTATATAAAATATATATAAACTTCTCAGGATTAGATATAAACAAAGTTCAGACTTTCTTCGAACACTCTTTTTTTAAGGGTTAGACAGCCATTGTCCCTCCATGATACAGCAGATGGAACTTCTTTATTACTTCATTTTGCTCCCATTTTTCAACTATTAAGCCAAATCCCAAGACCTGGTAAACCTTAACTCATACCATTTTCTTTTCTTTAAAAAATTTTTTTTTTCTTCCAACGATCTTCTTCTGGACTTTCTCTTCTTCAACTTGACCCATTTGGGTTTTGGATTTCTTTTTTCTTTAATTCTTCAATTTCTTGCAGCTTTTCTTATCTTTCTTTGGTTTCTATTTTGATCTCAAAGCTTTCACTTACTGAATTTGAGATCCGAGTATTTGTATTTGTTATTCTGTTGTAGCGTGGATGATTGGATTTGTTAGTTGGTAATCGATAATTGTGTTGACTTTTTTTTATCTTTTTGGTGGGGTGCACTTTGTTTCCAGAAATCAGGTTCTTAAACTTGCTTCTTCAATCATAATGTTTCATAATTTTTGTAATCATGAGTATTGTTTTTATGGATAAATTTTCAAGTTTGGAGGGTAACGGTAACTTCCTCTCTTTTGGTATCAAATTGTAGTTCATTTTGTAAGGCATGGTTCAAGTTCTGTTCTGGAAATAACATTTTCCCTCAAAAGCCTAGAGGAGAATTTAGGGAACTTGGCTTTTATTAGGGAGATCTGATCTTTATGTGCTGGATTGACCCATCTATTGTTTTTAGATATTGATGTTAAAACTAGTGGCAGTATTTTGAAGAAGAAATTTAAGTGTGAGAGTAGATGGGTAATACTTGTGTAGGACCAAGCATCTCCAAAAATGGATTTTTCCAATCGGTTTCTGCTGCAATGTGGCGGTCCCGAATGCCTGATGACTCTGTTTCTCATACTAATGGGGAAACTGGGAGTGAGGTAGCATCTAAAGAACCTGAATCACCATTACCAGTCCAAAACAGACCTCCAGAACAAGTGACAATGCCCAAACCAGAGACCAAACCAGAAAATAAACCAGAAACTAATCCTGAAAAACCATCAAAACCCAAGTCCCCTCATATGAAGAGGGTGTCTAGTGCAGGGCTCAGGACTGAGTCAGTGTTACAAAGAAAGACTGGTAATTTCAAGGAATATTATAGCCTGGGGAGGAAATTAGGACAAGGGCAATTTGGGACGACTTTTCTTTGTGTGGAGAAGGCAACTGGAAAAGAGTATGCTTGCAAATCGATTGCAAAGCGAAAGCTGGTAACTGACGATGATGTAGAGGATGTGAGAAGAGAAATTCAAATAATGCACCACTTGGCAGGGCATCCAAATGTTATATCAATAAAAGGGGCTTACGAGGATGCAGTGGCAGTTCATGTTCTTATGGAATTATGTGCTGGTGGAGAGCTTTTTGATAGAATTGTTCAGCGTGGACATTACACGGAAAGAAAAGCTGCTGCACTTACAAGGACTATAGTTGGGGTTGTGGAAGCTTGCCATTCTTTAGGGGTTATGCATAGAGACCTTAAACCTGAGAATTTTCTTTTTGTCAATCAGCAGGAGGATTCACTTCTGAAGACGATTGATTTTGGATTATCAGTATTCTTTAAGCCAGGTATAAACTGATTGATCTTTTCTCTTTCAAGTACCTAGGAGTGTTAATATTAGCTTTCTTTGTTTACCAATTTTAAGCTATTCTTTCACTGACCTGTTTAGTAAGAAAACTAGAGTAGGAAAAGCACTTGTGTAAGCTACTTGAACTTTTAGCTTTATTTATTACAAAAAAAAAAAAAGAAAAGAAAAGAAAGAAAAGGGAGGAAAAGCACTGAATCAATTATGTAATTGCTCAATGGTCATGAGTCATAAGTGTATAGGCTAAAAAAATCTTTACAAGTTGATCTCCATTTTTCCATAACATTGCATGGATTTCTTAACTTAAACATTAAATGAGTCATTGTTAAAGTCCAACTGTTAGTAAATGAATTCCTATTAACTTACTGAATCAGCAGAATTAAGGAACTCTCTGCTACATAGAGTTTATTCATGTGAGCAATTCCTGTCAGAAATATGATATGACATTAAAATGTCTTGTAAATTGCAAAAGCAATTCATATCAATCTTATACATTGCATTCCAAATAGTTTGTGATACTGCGTGTCATTATACGCTGCTAGCCCCGTGGTAATATACTGTTGCCAGCCATCTACTCGGCTATGGTATCAATTGCACATCTATGTCTTATACTCTTATTATTGGTTTAGGCTTGTAAGTTTTGTTTCATTCTTTAAGGTTTGTGGCACACTTGGTTTTTTTGCCTTGTACTTTTATTTGGAGCATGATTCTGTTCCATTATCTTTTGAGTCTTAGAGTTCCACAAGTAAATTTGACTTTGTGCCTCAATCTTGAAGCAGATAAGCACTAGTTAAGAAAGGAAAAGATTATCTTTTCATTGGCATTGGCATTGGCATGAAATTTACTAGGCTTTTCTTTGGTTTGTTTGTAAAAGACAAATGTAGAGCTTTTGCTCCTTCATTTTTTCACTGTTCATTAGTTTGCATGGTCAATATCCCAAAAATATCTAGTAAATTTAACCTGCACTGTGATTTACCAGCATCATAAGAAATTAAGAAAAGATTTAGTTTTTTTATTTTGTAATCCTCTTGGTGACTTTCTCCATGTAGGTGAAAAATTTACTGATGTGGTTGGGAGCCCGTACTATGTTGCCCCAGAAGTCTTACGAAAGCGTTATGGTGCAGAAGCAGATGTATGGAGTGCAGGAGTAATTCTTTATATTCTCTTAAGCGGAGTTCCTCCCTTTTGGGCTGGTAAGAAATTTTCTGATACATAAGATTTTTCCATTTTGATTAATCACATTTGAATGCAATCGTAATTTAGCTAAGTGCAATTATTTTAGCAGCACTTTGGTTTGCACCATCTTGATTATGTTTTGATATTCACTTGTTTCTCCCTTTTTTTCCATGATATAGAATCCGAGCAAGGTATATTTGAACAGGTCTTGCATGGTGATCTTGATTTTGAGTCAGATCCTTGGCCTAGCATCTCTGAAAGTGCAAAAGATTTGGTGAGGAGAATGCTTGTTCGCGACCCCAGGAGACGGTTAACTGCACATGAAGTTTTGTGTAAGTCACATTCTCTTACTCCCACTTTTCTATCATCATTTATTTTTTCTTACTTTTGCTACATTGGTCCTGCTGCTGCCAAGTGGGTGCTTCCCATGCCATTGGCATGGTAGTAATCTTCTTTCTTTCATTGGGTCCTTAGGTGAGGCATTCTTAAGACTTTAGTGCTGCGAAAATAAAGAAAGATATACACTGGTGCTATTTTTGTAAAAGGCACCTCTGCTAAAAACTAATAGAAAAAGATATAGAAAAATAGTAAAAAGATAAATAGCGTTGTGATATCTTAAAAAAGCAGCGCTACAAAAATAATAATAAATTCGTCCTAGTTCCCAATGCCAAGAAAAACTTTGTACTTGCTCTTTCTATTTCCTTCCTTTTGGTCTTTCCTTCTGTTGCCAGCCATCTTTCTCTTTGTCATACTCTCTCTCTGTTGCTGTCCATTACCATGTTTTCTCAACCTTCTTTCTCTTGCTTAGACTCTGGGTTATCATATGTCACATGATGGTTTCCTTGTTACAAAATGTTAATGCACTATGTGGCTTTTTCTTGATTTGGTAGGTATAAATTGAGTAATGGAATCTATTACCATTGAAAGTCTGAAACAGATCCATACTGGAGCTCTATAATGCAGCATTGAATCATTTTGTAAACGTTGTAGAATTATTCCTTGGCTAGAGAAAAGTAACCATGCAATCTACACTTCCTATAGATTTTCATTTACATATAATATTTGTTGCAAAAGGTGTATCCATCCAAGAGGTTGGGATGCTATATCTTGTATGACAAATTTCAAATGATCTTCCAAGGCCTTTACTTCATATGATGGATTTTCTCCCCCTTTCTTCCTTTTGTATTGGAATTTGTAAAGATTGGAATATAGAGCCTACCCCGCTATGTGCACAACTTAGATAAGGTTCCTATCTTTCTTTTCCTCTGATTCTTTCAATGAAAATAAGCCAGGTGTTTGAAACTGCTGTAAAAATTTGAAGTGGCGTCCATTGTTAAGTCAATGATTTTAATCATATGGTTTATTTTCATTGAGGAATTTGAGGAAAAGAAGTTTGGAACTTTGATTTAATGAGTAAGTGCCATCAAATTTACATCATGGAATAGGGTACTTAAGTAGAGGACAGAACTTTTAAGATTTATTAAGGCTCCATTTGGTTGGCATTTTTGGTAATTTGCTTGTTGCTCCCATAGCTAAAAAGCAAAAAGTATGTTTGGAAACAAAAGCAAACAATAAATATATAAAGGATTATATACAAAATATGTAATTCTTTTAGATGACAAAGTGCATGATTCTATTCCTATGTAGACCAATTATGTTATAATTGGTGTTACATTTTAATTATTTGTTCATTTTAAATCAATTATGATTTTGTTTTTTACTTTTTGCTTTTGCTTTATAGCAATTCTTCAAAAAGCAAAATGCAAAAAGCTAAAAGAAAGTAGTAAAAGCAACAACCAAATGGAGTCGTTTGTTGCATCTTTAATAGTATAGCTGTAGACCTAAATTTATGGAGTTCTTATTGCCTAGAAAGATTTTGGTCTCCATGTTATCAACAACATAGATGGCCACTATTTATATGATTAGATTTAAAAGACAGTGACTATAGATGGTGCTTTTTCTTCCATTGATAATATTGTTTAAATCCCATGTAGGTCACCCTTGGATACAGATTGATGGTGTTGCTCCTGACAAGGCTCTTGATTCTGCAGTTTTAAGTCGTATGAAACAATTTTCTGCGATGAATAAGCTCAAGAAAATGGCCCTTAGAGTAAGTCTCTGACATGCTAGACATGATGTATGGGGAAAAGGGGGTTGAGAGAGATGGAGGGAGGTAGTGATGAGGAGAGGGAAAGGTTGAGCTATTTATGTAGAATCTGAAGCTTGAAATTTGAGTGCATACACAGGCTATCTAAACCTATTTATCATACCATTCATACTTAAAATTATACTCTAGATCTTCTAGTTATGTTGATGAACAAAATTTTCCTTTTTCCCTTGAAGGTAATTGCGGAGAGCCTATCTGAAGAAGAAATAGCTGGCCTCAAAGAAATGTTCAAGATGATAGACACTGACAACAGTGGTCAGATCACCTTTGAAGAACTTAAAGCAGGATTGAAAAGAGTTGGAGCGAATCTTAAGGAGTCTGAAATTTATGACCTTATGAAAGCAGTAAGTATGAGACCAAATTTGGTTATAGTATATTCAGATAAATAACTCTAAAGGTTTCTCCCTTGCTACCAACTGCTACTCATCTAGGACAATTGCTACTTGGAGTTGGGATGATTCTCGTAAGGGATAATCAACTAACAATTTTTCCTCATTCTATATTGAAGCAAAGCACAGGGCATTACCTCACTTGCATGGGCCCAACAGTCCTTCCAGGACCATAGAACTCCATTTCTTGACCTTTGTACATCAAATCTAGGCACAGTGGTGACACCTGAAAACCTCTCAGCTTGTTCAAAGAGACTTCTGGAATATCTTTGTCATTCAAAACTCAAGGAACAAGCATAGAAATAATTGCTTCAAGAAAAAACTTTTAAAAAGGAGATATGTTAAGGCAGCTCATGACTGGTTATGCACTACTAAAGGCAGATAAATAAGTTTAGTTTGTGAATTTTTAGAAGTCTATTGGTTTGGCTTTACCCAATTTAGGATCTTAGTGTTTAAATGCAACAAGCTATAGAGTTACAGGGAGAAGGAAAGGAATATATACTCCATGGTATGTAGTGTCTTTAACCATGGGGTTCATCTGGATTCTCTACAGGTCTCAAGTGATCTGGCCCATGCCTTTGAACAGTTTTGTATGAGTATAAATTTGCGTCATGGTATGCCTAGTACCATCTCTCTGTCCCAAGATTACACTGGCAGATCTAATTCTAGTTTTACAAAACTGATCCAGAGAGGAGCAAGTAGTTTTGTTTTATTTGTTATCCTAAATTTCTGGTGATTTAACCGAGGATTTGGATTGCAGTTTGTCTTCTTTTTATTTTTGATTCTCTATGGTTCTTTACAGAATACAAAATTAATTCAGAATAAGCAACAATGAGTAATGCACATGTCTTCTTAAATTTTCAGGCTGATGTTGATAATAGCGGCACAATCGATTATGGGGAATTTGTAGCTGCTACACTGCACCTAAACAAAATCGAGAGAGAAGATCATTTATTTGCTGCCTTTTCCTACTTTGATAAGGATGGTAGTGGTTATATTACTCCAGATGAGCTCCAACAAGCATGCGAGGAGTTTGGCATAGAGGATGTTCGCCTTGAGGAAATGATTCGAGAAGTTGATCAGGATAATGTAAGCGGTCTGTTTAATCATTAAGGCATTCCATTTTTGATTTGATCATTACAGCATATATTGACCAAAAATAAGACTGGAATGGATTTTAGGGGGCCATATCTCTTGCCTTAAAAAAATATATGCTATCAAAAGCTGTGGTTCAGTGGTTGAGTAACAGTTCACCTAAGTGAGTGATCTAGGGTTCAAGTTATAAATTAGCTCCACTTGCTACCCAAGATTCAAATTGGGTTGGTAGTCCTTTCCTTTTTTCGTCACCTGGTAAATAGTCCACCCTTGAATCATCTTTTCGGATATGGGTTCTATATCAAGTTGTCTAATTTCTTGTAATAAAAGCCTGAATGTATCCGTTGTCCATAACGATCCCTCATTCCTAAGAAAACTATCAAAATAATTTTGTGCTTCTGGCATAGCAGTTGTGCTAGAGAATTGTCATATAGAAAATAAACTTTATCTACCAATCATATGCAGGATGGACGCATTGATTACAATGAGTTTGTGGCCATGATGCAGAAAGGAAACCTTGCCTCAAACGTCGCCGGTGCTGGTAAGAAAGGCCGACAAAATAGTTTTAGCATCGGATTTAGAGAAGCATTAAAACTTTAGTACAGGCAACAGTTCAAGTTCTTGTTTTCTGTTTTTTTTTTTTTGTTTTTTTTGTGTACTTTAATTTTTGAGGGCATTGAGATTTGTATAGTAAGGAGTACCAGTGGTGATTGTAAGGAGCAGGCAGTTGATTGCATTGGGTACTTGTCCTTTTTCTTGCCCCCTTTCTTAGCAACTAAAATTAGCCCCATGATAAGGTTGTATACTTCAGACACAAGTTGTGTGCTTCTTTTGGCTTTTTTTCTTTTTTTTTTTCTTTTTTATGTTCATCAGAACCCCTTTATCTTAACAGTATCTTTGACAATGAAACTCTTTTTCTTATTTTTGGACAAATTTTATTGTATTTGAATTCTACAATTTATTCCACATTTTCGTTATAAATTAATTCTATTATTAAACTGATTTTTAATTTGATTTTAACAATAACCAAAGTTGAATTACACTAAACTTGGCTGCAACTGCATACCTACGTTGCGTATTATGTGCACGTAGCACCTGGTCACTGGGATCAAGGATTTTTTTTTATATTTAAAACTTAATATACGACTACAATTTAAAAATAAAATAAATAAAAAAATTTAGAAGTAATTCATTGATACTAAAAAAATTATATGAATTTTTATAAATACTAAATATAATTGAAAATAACAATATCTTTTAAGAAAGATAAAGAATAAATATACCTATTTTTGTAATAGAAAATTTTATCAATATCCATACTCTCATATATATAGTATAGGAATATTATAAATATAAATTATGTGCCTATAAATTACTATAAATAAAGGTACAGGCTTGAACGTGAAAGCATATATATAGAAAGGATAAAGTACATTACGACATTTGTAAGAGTATTTTTATAAATTCATTAATTTGTAGAGAAAAAGACAAAAAAGCACCTTCGAATCAGCACCGTTCAATTTTAATCAAAATAATTTTGATCATTAAACAAAACCCAACTACTTTTCCCCTACGTCAATAAATGGTCCATACTCGTCTGTCACCGTAGTTATGACCACTAGCCAGTGACATTGTCATTGCTCTTTCAGTAAGAGATGCCAGAAATACGTATGTCCGTAGAAATACATCAGCCACAATGTTTTAAATTTTAATTTTCCTTTTTTTTTTTTTTAAGTTTCTCTCTTTCTGCGTACAATATACAATAAAAACCCTAATTAACCCAACTTTTTGCTCTCTTTTAAAGATTTTTCGTCAAAATCCCCAAACCCTAACTCTCATTTCCCCTTTCTCAGTTCTCTCTCTCTCTGATGGCGACGGCGCGTGAAGAGAGTAACCCGTACGACGGGGGGTTCGGAGGCGGAGGAAAGTTTAGGAAACGGCCGTTTCGGAGGACAACGCAAACCACTCCGTACGATCGACCACCGACCGCAATAAGGAACCCCAGCGCTAGCGGCAATAGAAATGGTTGGTTATCGAAATTGGTGGATCCAGCGCAGAGGCTTATTACTTCCAGTGCGCACAGGCTCTTCGCGTCCGTCTTCAGGAAACGCCTCCCTCCTCCTCCGCCTCATCCGCCGGAAGCGCCGGAGCCCGGTGAGGTTTTTTCCTCTGCTCTTTGTTATTCTTTCTGATATTAAGAACAGAACAAGGAAAACAGTTTCTTTGCTTTTGCTTTTTTGTGGAAATGCGGTCGGTTAGGGTTGCTTTTATTGTTGGGATTTTGGACTGATAGTTTGTAATATTTGACTGGGGAATTTGTGCTCTCTGAGTGAGGAAGACATTTGTGAGTTAGGGTTTTTTTTTTCTTATTCCTTTTCGATAGTTTGAGTGATGAATAATACTTCTCTTTACAATTGTGCTGTTTTTATTAAAATGAGAGCAGTTTCTTCTTTGGTCTTTTTTTTTGGTGTATGATATTTCTTATTAGTTGATGTATGCATCATTTTAGAATGAGATAATAATTCCCCAATAACACAAATAGTAGAGGAGAACCAGTGCGTAATTGCCCAACGTTGTTTTTAATTGGGAATTGATGGGTTATTAAAAAATATGGTAATGGATGATTACTAGAAGATATCAAATGTGCGAAACATGTATGGTGTTTTACTTCAATTTCTCCTTTCAAAAATCAATGCTTAGATATATAGATTGGTAATTACAGTTGTTCTTTTAAGGTTTCTTTTTTTAGGGCATGTTGGTAGTTTGAATTACCATTAATAATTATTTTTTTGTGTGTTGTTAACTAATTGTTGCATGTATTAATATCATCAGAGACTAATGAGGAAGTGAGGGAGAATCCACCAGAAGCAGCTTTAACAGTAAGTATTGGAGCTTTCATATTTAAACCTATTTGGTGGTTGTGTTCCTGTTAGCTTGATTATATGTCTTACCAAGTGGTTGCTAACTTTTGGTTTTAACTTGTTAAGAGCTGAGAAAAGAAGACCTATTGATTCGCAAAATTTGAACGTATAGTACAATTTTCTTTTCTCTCTTCAATATAATTATACGTTGGAAATTGGAAATGCTATGTGGTAGTTCCATTGTTGCACTATGTGCAGAAGTCTATTAGTGCAATATTCCAAGATTGATAGTTTCTTTTGCAGATGATTGTATTTTTGGACTCTTAGGTTTCATTTGGAAAGTTGAATTTGAAAGAAGGGATTTGGGTTTCAATTTTTATTTTTTTTAAATTGGGTGGTGGATTACATAAAAACATTACCGCTCTGTTTGATAATCAGAAATTGACTTTCGGAAGGAAAATATTTTCTATCGTTTGGATATCATTAAGTTAAGTATATTCTGGTGTTTGGAATACAATGAAAAATTTTATCAAATTTACAAACGTAAATACTTAGAAATTACAAAAATAAGTATTCCTCCCATTGTTTTTTTCATGCTTACTGAATTATAATGTTTTCATAATCATTAATAAGTTTTCATGATTTAAAGCAACTTAACGAAAACCCAAACAAATTCATAAATACTCAAAATAAATTAATGAAAGCCCAAAACTGAAACTAATTAAATAACAAGTTAACTAAATCCCAAACTAATATTCAGTTTAAATGTTTTTTGGTGAAGCAATCTTTTTTTTTTTAAAAAAAAGTAATTAATGTTCGGCTGGAGGACTACCCCGGTTTGTCATGGTAAGAGTTTGAAAACCAAAAATGGGAAGTCTTGTCCAGGTTGGATCTCCTTGGCCTCAGCAAAACAATGGCAAACAAAGGGAAGAGGTAAAGGAAGATGAGGAAGAGAAAAGGACATGGTGATTGACAGGAAGAGAGAAAGAAAGGGACGAAAAAAGGTGGGAAAGGGAGGAAGAAAGAAAGGGGGAGGAAAAAGAGATCTAAGAAAGGGAAGGAAGTCGTCAGTGCAGGAAACTGACAATGTGGTGGCTGTTCCTGATGCCGATGAATGGAACGGGGCAGTGGTGGCCAGTCGTTTGGCTTGGTGAAAGGGGTTGAAGGGTTTGGTGCAAAAAGAGCCTTTGGAAAATGTCTTACACCCTTAAAGGCATAAGACATTTTACAGGGTCAAGGGGTGTTTTTCCCAGTGACCCATAAGCTGTTTGACCTGAAAAATGTATTTTGTCTTCTAAACACACAAAGCTCCTGAAAATATTTTCTGGAAAAAAACTACATCTTTTCTAAACAGACCCTATGTTCTTGATATTTTTAAATGCATGGATTTGTTAGATCTCTACATAGTGATAAATTTGATGTACATATATGAAATGGGGAATTTAAACTTCATCTTCTTATACCCTCTTATATACTTAGATGTATTGAATCTTAACTATTTTAACTGAATGCATACATATATCTTCACAATTTGTTATAACATACAAAATCCATATCCACTTCCTTGAATTCGTGTTCCCAAACTTAGCATTGAAGTTTGCATTGGGGTAATTGCAGTTGCACTTAAACTGCACTTCTGAATTGATTTGTAAGGCAATTATACTGTGAATAATAGGTTGTTTTTGGCTTCTTAAAACATTTTTCATTTGCAGTATTCATTTTGGTTCTGTGAAAATATTTCTGATTGCTTATTTTTTGATTTCTTGAAAATCCTTTCGGTAATGGAATTAAAAGACTGTTCTCTAAGAATGAAAATATCGAGCATGGGGCATTGGAATTTCTGAGTAGTACAAAATGAAAATGGTTTTTTTTTTTGAAAAGTCACACTGAAAATGTTTGATGAACATGAGTAACTTTAATATCCTTAAATTAAATTTAAGAGGGCACAATTCTGCCAGACAAAGAAGAAACATGAGAAAGGTACATAAAATATGAAGTGAAACTTGGACTGAAAATAAATGATTAGTAAACAAAATTTTGGTTAAATTTGTACAAGATCATATGCTTATCACTTGTTTTGGTGGATAAAATATGAAAAAACTAAAAACTGTTATTTTTATGTTAAAAGCCATTAGGATAGAATATACTGCTATACTTCTCTTTATGGGAGATTTGAACCTGAGGCATTCATATAGCTCATAAGAGCATCATTTCTTTATTAATTATTTTCGGCATTTCCTTCTCATTTTTTATTCAATTTTTTGTTTGAAACAATTAAACCTATTTTTTTTCTCATTTTTCAGTTAAATTTTTATCCACCTACCACTTCCTCACTAGATTTAACGTACTGTATGAAAGTGAAACACAAAACACTCATGTTTTGAGACTAAACACAGCTTTTCTTGGTATGCTACCTATCATTGGGAGTGATAGAACTTAAGTAGTGGGTCACATGTGCTAAATGTTGGTGACACACTTTGTCCTAAATTTTCATAATCCATCTTTAATCATTGTTAATTGTGGTGGTTACTTTGTCTCTCCTTTTCTTGTGATAATATTATTTTCAATTTGATTTTGTTTTAGATGAACTCAACTTATATTCTTTCTTGTTTTATGTAAATCTGCCCACATAGGATTCTCCTGTTCTGGAAGTAGCCATCACAGGATGTGACAATTCCAGTAATCATACTGATGGAGGTGGAGTTGCCGAACTTGAGGAAATTTTAAAGCAGAAGACATTTACCAGGCAAGATAAGGAAGAATTGTATCTTATTGATGTCAAATTGAAATGAATGGTTAATTGTGCTACTTTGCCAAATTTAATTCATGGCATTTGCTCTGATAATTTGCACTTTCTTTTTGTGTGCTCTCATGCTTTAGGAAAAGTTTCTATTTCTCTAAGTTCCTTTCTCCTGGAAGAAGGGCCGAGAGAATGAATTAGATTGAATCTCTTGATGCATTTGCAAATTTTAGTTATTCTTTGACCTTTCTAGTTGGTTTTTGTGTTATCTAATTTCAAATCTGTAGAGGCTGTTGTCATGCTTTATGAGTTTCCATGTTATTGCATCAGCTTCAATGGGAATAAACTCCACCTATTTGGGTGGCTTATCATGTTTCTTTAAGCTACCTAGTAGTTCTTTCAACACGAATTTTCTTGATGCTGTAGACGATGAATGTCATTATTATTCTTTTGCAGATCTGAAATTGATCGTTTGACGACTTTACTACATTCAAGAACTGTTGATATTCCTGGTGGAAATGAAGAAAAGAGGTCTGACGTGAGACCGGTGGTCTTACATGACAGGAAAGAAGAATTACCAAAGACTCCGGTTCGAGAAAATGGGACTGGGAACCATCTTGTTTCAACACCTGTTGTCACCTCAACTGTAAGGAAAAGTTTTCCTCCCTTTCTTTTTGCTTTTGGGGTAACATACCGACGAGTGCTTTTTGCTAGGTCTGCATAATTTTCATCTCATAGATGGAAAATAAAAGCTTTCATGATGTTGCAGGTCCTTGAGGATGTTGCTTCACCTGCTGAGCTTGCAAGAGCTTACATGGGCAGTAGGCCTTCAAAAGTATCTATATCAACACTTGCATTACACAATCAAGTGCATAGGGGAGATTTAGCTTTGCTCAGCAATAAAAATTTCCCTTCTAAATCACCCACAATGTCACTTGTGCCAAGGTCTTCTGGCCCTGTTGGGAGTCTTGGAAATGGCTTTGTGACCCCAAGATCACGGGGCAGGTCTGCAATGTATAGTATGGCACGAACACCTTATTCCAGGGTTAACTCAGCAGCTGTCCTCAAGGTTCATATGCTAGAGAAAACATTTTCTTTTTTATTATTGCTTGTTTATTGTATTTCTTATTCCAGTTTGCGCTTTGTCTAGGGAGCTGGGACTGCAAGTGATGCTTTTGGTGGACCATTATCATCATCTCAGAGTGCATGGAAGCAAAACAGAATCTCGGGCTCTAGACAAGGGGTACTAATTAAGGACAGTTCTTTTTTCTCTTTCAGGATTTTCTCATCTAGAGAATGTCACTGGATATATTTCTTTCCCTTGCAGGCTTTGAAGCGTGGGAGTTCAGTGTTAGACAATGATATAGGATCTGTTGGCCCTATTCGCCGCATCCGTCAGAAGTCTAACCTTCTTTCTTCAAAAAACTTAAGTTTACCTGCTTCTGGTGGTCCTCTATCTGCCTATGAAGCTGGTTCTAGTTCAGCTTTATTAGATGCCCAGCGTCATGTATCTTTAAGAGAGACACCAGCTTTATTGGGTGAAGTTAGGCATAGCTTTACTGATGCTCTAGCCGAGAATGGGGATAACAGCACTCCTGGCACACATTTTACCCCAGTTCCATCCAAGTCCAGCGAGATGGCTTCAAAAATATTACAGCAACTTGACAAGTTGGTCTCCCCAAGGGAAAAATCGCCAACGAAGTTGTCACCATCTATGCTACATGGGCAGGCTCTTAAAAGCCTTGAGAACGTAGATTCTTCAAAATTTCTGGAGAATATGCATGATATTGGCAAGTTGGGTGGTTCTCACACCGCACTGCCTGATGTTCGAGACTCTACGTCTCACAAGCGGGATAAGGTTGAAGAAAATGGCTCAACAAAGTTGGTTGCTTTCCCTGACAAGTCAGGTCCTGCGGTAAATGGTGTAGATACTGATAGTTTACTGAAGGATAATGTTCCTTGTCTTAAAGCTGCTGATTCCGCTGTGATCAAATCTGTTGTACAGCTACCTCAACAAAAGAGATGGGCTTTTCAGATGAGTGCACATGAGGTATGTGTTAATGGGTAAACAGATATAATTGAGGTCTTATATCATTTTCGGTTATGGTTTGCTTTTGGTGATCGAATAGAATATCAATGATTAAAATTCCTCTTGTTACATCCTATTAGGTCCTTTTGTTTTGATTCGTTGATGCCAGAAGAAAAAAACTGTGAAATGCCTACTTTTGGATTGAGAAAGGAATTTATGAACTTCACTCTTTTTTCCCTTTCTGTTGCCATTTTTATCGCCTTAAAATTTATGGTCTTTGTCACAGGATTATCTGGATCTGGATGAAGATGACCATACTAATGGAGCTGCATCTGCCACATTTGTTGAGGGGAGAGAGAAGTTGGATAACTGTGTCATGGGAAGTAAGACTGCTGCTGCTGAAGCTATTTTAGTAGAGAAGCCTTCTAGTCTTTCTGAAGTTAAGCCTATTTCAAGTTTGGTATTAAACAGAAAACCTGATTTGGGAACATCTGATGGATCAGTAGTTGAAAAGAATGATGGTATTACTTTTCCAGTTGCACAGGTGGTGACTTCATCTGTCCAGGCAACATTGTCGGACACTCAGTCAACTTTAACAGCCAATAAAGATGTTGCCTCTAAGGAATCAAATGCCAATTCTCTCATGCTTAGCTTTGGGGAGAAATTAGTTCCAGCAAAGCAGCCAGATATAGCTGCTCCAACATTTGGCTTTGCCTCTACAAATGTAGGCGAGGTTTCATCAGTTAGTGGATCTTCAGGTGTTAAGATTCCCACAAGTTCAGACCAAAAACTAGAGAACTCAATCAGGTTGGTATATGTGCATTATTCAATGTCTGTTGCTTGGAAGGTCATTTACTTCTGCCTTTTTTTCCTCTTTCTTTCTTTCTATCCCTCTAAATGCAGGCATTGTACTTGGAATAACTAATAGTGGGTTCAATGGAATATATGAGGGGTTAGTTGGTTGATAGGGAGTAAAAGGTTTACCCTACCATGGTCAGGAGTTTCTATTAAAGGAGGGGAGGGGATTTTGGAAGTGAATCAAACCCTTTCCATCTCCCTTAGAACTTCACTTGTTTAAATGCCCTTAAGTTCTCCTGATTAAGAGGAGAGTATAATGTCACGAGGAAAGTGCCTCTATCCCACATCGGACAAGAATGGGAGGTCCTGGGCTCCTTATAAGCGGGTGTGCTGCACACTCCTATAAGCGCGTTTATGGGGAGAGAGGTAATGACTCCGTGACAAGTGGTATCGGAGCAGACCGGACCTCGTCTGACTCACGCCAAGCGCCCGGCCCAGGGGACTTAAGGTAGGCAGGGTGGCCGACGGCAACGAGGGCATTGCCGAATCGGGTGGGAGAGAGTGTCACGAGGAAAGTGCCTCTATCCACATCAGACAGGAACGGAGTCTTGGGCTTCTTATAACGGGTGTGCTGTACACCCCTATAAGCGCGTTTATGGGGAGAGGGTAATGACCCCTGACACAAACACTTGATAATTTGAGCTTATGATCCTGTTTTTAACCCTTCAAAGTTTATTTTAATAATGATTTCATATTAGTGTAGAGGAGAGTTGATTTTCTACTCTAGTTTATTCTCTTACATTTCCCCCATTACTTTAACTTCTGTTACCTTCAGACTTTCAAATGCACTATCTCGGGGTTAAGAAGAAAAGAAGTGGGGAAAACTTTGTTCATTAGATTGATTAAAGCAGTGATATTTTGTAAAGTCATAAAGTGTATAATAATGGTTAAATTAGTAAGCTAAGACTTTTCTTATACTAATAATAGATGAAGTTCTAATAAGAAGTGAAAAGCTATATATAGTTATCCAGTATAGTAGGCAGTGCTCTCAGGGGAGTTTTATGAGATTTAGCTTGCGTTTGGTAGCTCCAGTCACCTCTCTTATTTTGCTTTGCTAACAATCACTAAAAAGCTGTTTCTTCTTAATACAACTATTGATCAGTATATATGGTCTTTTGGAGTTTTATTCTTAAACGTTTGCCTATCTGCTTTATGTGCAGCTTTGCTTCTACTGCTCCCAGTACAACCAATTCCTTGATAGATAAATCTGATAAAGAGAACCCTATGAACGGCGTCTTCTTCAGGACAGCTGAAACTGCAATCTCCTCTGCTGTATCAACTTCGACCTCAGCTGGAAGCATATTCAAGTTTGGTGCCTCAGCAAATAGTTCTACTCTAAATAATGGGTCTCTTGCCTCAAGTCCTTTTCCATTTTCTTCAATGACGCCATCCTTAGTCTCCAGTAATGGTCAAAGTTCATCCAGTAGCTTTACCAACTCTATGCCTTTCACCACAATAGTGACACTTCTGCTGCTGCCACATTTCCATAGCTGCCAATGCCACCATCAGCGTACTAGCAGCCTCTATGCAGGCTCGGTCCCCTCCCTTACAGCTGCGCCTCTTTTCATTTTCATCCTCTGGGGACCCATCAACTACAGCTTCAACATTATCAGCAACTTCAGGGGAAGCAACTGAAGCCAAGACGCAGAGTACTAGCTTTGGCAATGTGGCCATTGTTCCTTTTGGAAGTACATCTGCTTTTACTAGCTCTGGAAGTAGTATTTTTGGTGGTACATCTGAAGTCACATGCATTGTGAGCAGCACTTCTGGTGGTCCAACAGCTCCGGTCACGAGCTCTGTGAGTAGCAGTTTCAGTGGTACATCTTCAACAATTACAAACTCCGGAAGTGGCTTTTCAGCAGCACATTTTCCACCATCACAAGCACAGGCAATGGCATCTTTGGAGATACAACTGCAACTAAAGGCACAGGCAGTAGTGTTTTTGGTGGTACATGTTTGTCAAAAGCTAGTACGGGAAGTAGTATTTTTTCCACTACATCTGCAATCACAAGCACAGGAAGCAGCATCTTTGGATTTAGTGCACCAGCTGCATCCACAGCTACCGCACAGGCTCAGGGTTCAAATCCTTTTAATGCTGTTAATACCCAGGCAGCTGCAGCTGGAACTGGCATTGCTACCACTGCTCAAAGCATGCCAGTTCAGTATGCTTCATCTGCATCATCTCCATCATTTGGACTGGCTGGGAATACAACTTTTTCCTCTGGCAGTTCAGTGTTTGGGTCGTCAGTATCTGAAGCTAAACCTTTTGGTTCAGGGGCTACATTTGGAATGAGTTCGTCCTCTTCAGAAACAACGTCTCTTAGCTCTAGCAGTGGCATTGCTTCTGGCACTTTTGGTTCCAATTGGCAAGCCCCTAAGGCGCCTCTATTTGGTTCCACATTTAGTCCATCTTCTTCATCTGGGTTTTCCTTTGGATCGTCAGCTTCTATTCCTGCTCCTAGCAATGCACCTACTATCTTTGGGTCATCCACTGGTGCCGCTTCAAGTTCCATGTTTTCATTCACTTCAGCTGCAGCTGCTACTTTATCACAGCCTGTGTTTGGTAACACTAGTCCTGGCTTGGTGTTGGGGTCGGCTTCCGCTAGTAACAATGATCAAATGGAGGATAGTATGGCAGAGGACACAGTTCAGGCTTCTCCACTGACTAATGCGACATTTGGGCAACAACCAATATCACCACCTACATCTGGGTTCATTTTTGGAGCATCAAACCCATCAGGAGCAAATTCTTTCCAGTTTGGAGTCCAACCAGGCATGGCCACGTCACAGAATGCATCTCCATTTCAGGCTTCCGGTAGCCTGGAATTTGGTGCTAGTGGGAGCTTTTCACTGGGCACGGGTGGCAGTGACAAGTCTGCCAGAAAATTTGTGAAGGTCCGCAAGCAGCGGAAGAAGTAAAGAGGTGTGATTACAGTAACAGGGAAACTGTTTGATGGGACAGACCTGTGTGATAGATTGAATAATTATTGCGGCAGGAGATGAACAGCATGTGATTGTTGCTGTTGGGGGAAGCCATATGAAATTCATTGGGTGCTAGCAGAAGGATTGAGTGGGGTTGGTTCTGCTTTGGTCATTTACAGTTTCCCTGCTTTCATTGGAGAAGCTTGTCACAATTTTGTATGGGTCTTGCTAGTAAAAATTTGAGAAAAACATTTGTATTGTACTGCTAGTATAATTAGATGATAGATTTTGCAGGTTTGAGCAATTGTGCTTTTCACCTTTGTCCTTCTGTGTACCCTTATCATATGTAACATAAACAACAATGCAAAATGGTTTTGAATTTGATTTTGAGAGGATCTCTGATGAAGAAACTGTTCTCCAGATGGATATGTTAAGACCAAATTATTTAAACTCTACTCACTATTTCAAATGGTATCCAACAACCAGAGCTTTGATATTTATTACTACTCTCTACAATGTTGTCTTATCATATGCTAGTCCATCACTTTTCCTATTGGTTTTTTTTTTTTTTTGGCTTTGATTAAGAACCTATATATATATATCTATATAAAAATATATTTACAATTTGTAAAAAGCTTACAAGAATTGAGAGGTTTTACATAAGAATTAATTATACTCAGTCAACCTTACACCTTTCAAAACTCAATAAAATATTAACAAAATCTTATAAAATTTCTGTTTTTCATCGAACTCTCTCAATTTGTTCAAAATTTTTCAAAATTTATGTCTGCTGAGAATTAAGATTCAAAACAAGATCAAGTATCATAATCATACATTTTTTTAATTTCAACTATTTAATCCCAAAACTAGTTTTTTCTCTCTCTTGGGTTGTTAATTTTCTTCATTTGTTTGTAAATCTAATTTAATTTAAGGTTAGGGATTTTTTCAAAAATAAAAAAATTCATGTGGAAATCTCTATATTATGTTATGTCAACATTGTCTCATGTCAATATTTGTCATACATCGATCATGTCACATCAATATACCTCACAATTAAATTTAATGATGTTAGAATTAAGAATTATAATTAATAAATTCACAAAGTATAAGAATTCAATTTATATAAATTATTATATAGAAACTAAATTCATTCTTCTTGTAGAGTATATGAACTAATTACATAATTTAACTATAAATATAAGATTATATGTTCTCCACATAAATCTAATTATGATATCCCTTCACTAATTTCCCAAGTAAAACGAGCAGGTATATCAAGGAGATTAATGAGTTTATAAATGACTCAAATCTTTTATGACATGTTTGGCTGGGAGGAATAGGCAATTCCATTCCTATTATTTCTTAACACCCTCTTTCGCTGTGTGAATTACAAAATAACTATTCGCAAAGAGGATAAGCTATTATCTACCCTCTTGGGTAATAGCTATCCCATGGGTCAAACAATAGACTGAAACAATTTTAAAATGATTATGTGAGATCACTATCCTATGCATGTTAAAACCTAACCCTAACATTTAAAGAGTATTTTTGATTTATTATCATTTATTTATTTTTATTCCACAACTATTTTTATCCATCAAACACTAGAATAGTATAGAACGATAATCAAGGCTCATAATAGCTATTCCTGTTACAAAATAGCTATTCCAGTGATTTGAGATGTCTCTTAAACAAACCATGAAGTTGAGACATTCAGACTGACTCATATCTTCAAGGAGAGGAATAAATGTTTGTGGTTATGGCTTACCCTTTAAAATGTTTGTATTTCTTTACCTCACAGTGAACACCCACAGGACATGGCGAATGATAGAGTTGAGAATAACAAGAAGTTGCTAATGTAGCCAAGTCAGAACACACACATGAATATTTAGACCTAAAATGGAATGCCATTACAACAAAAGCAGAATATCACTGGTCTTTCTTTTTTGGTTTTTTGGTCAGTGGTAATGGAACCAAATATCTAAGAAATTTTCAACAAGAGAGTATCACATTACACTCATGGACATTATTTGGCGAGCGAGACCTGGGTCTTGCTGCAGCAGCTCCCTCAAGTTGTTCTCCACCTCAGCCATCTGTTTTTCCAAGTACTCCTTCGAAGTCTGTCAAAACTCAATATATTAGGTTACTTTCAGGGAAAATGGATCAGCACTCCAAGTTGTAGTTCATGATCAGCACACACAATAGAATGCTTACCACTTGTAAGGTTCTTTCAAAAAATAAAGCTCAGGAACGAAATTGCAAAAGATTAAACAAAAGCCATTAAAACTCAATATATGAAGCCATAAAATCATAACAAATCCTGTGATGGTTGAACACAAGGTAGTTATGGCATAGAATAAAACCAAATGAGCTAAGCATGGTGAGGTAACTTGCTTAATATGGTGCAAATATATTCCTTTTTTTTTAATTTGGGGAAAGGGGATTCGAATCCTGTTCTTTAAGCAGAAGATCAGGCACCAACTAATGAGCCAAACGTTCAGGTGCAATGGTTATCCTTTTAGTTAAGTCAAATATCCAACAACAAGGATGGTTCCAACCAGGAATAAAAGAGGAATAACAAAAATTTGAAAAGAAGAAAAAAATCACCAATGAATACCAAGTGTCAAGTGGAGAAGATGCATGCACATAAAGCTTTACACAACCAGAGAAAATTACCTGCAATGAAGCAATTGCAGACTCACTATCTTTCAGCTTCTGTTCTTGTTCATTCATTAAAACTGGCTTGGGCTCTAAAACAAACCTGGACAGATGATGAAAGAAAGGCAAATAAATATGTCCATCAGTCCACATCACGTATATTCCTTGCAGGCCATGACTCATGATTAACATTTAATTAAGTTATAGACTACTCACGTTCTCCCTGCAAAACAATAAAAAGAAAAACAGGTTATTGCTCTGCAGATTTGGCACAATCACTCTATAATCCAACGAAAATAGTTGCCCATTAGTCATAACATATGAAACAGGCCTATAAAAATGCCAGCTCTAAAAATAAAGAGAAGTCTAAACCTAGCATCCTCATATGTGAATTTCTAACCACTGTAAATAAGTAAACACAACACTAGAATCTCACACCAATGCAACATCACAGTTTCAAGATCTACCTATGGATTTATAAGTATTTGTATCATCAGACAGCTGATGTAGCTCCTCCAGCGTTAAGTAAGCACGCTTCTTTTCTCCTTCCTTGTTTCGCATCTGGTTTTGCACCTAGAAGTCATATGATTCACTCACTTCAGTCCCAGAGGTTAAAGGTACTTCTCACAAGTCTCCAATTCCATGATAACTATAGTGGGGTAAAAGATCACATAAAACAGATATCAAGTATACAACAGCCACTCTTGCACTTAAACACAGAAATAAAATTTTCATTTCAACAAAAGGAGGACGCACAGCATCAAGCATTACACACATGGGTACATAATTGAGCATGCACTCAATGCTGAAATTCATCGAACCAAGAATTGCTTGGATGTGGAAATATAACAAAAAGCCAGGAGGCCTGCTCCTTTGCCATATATCCCAGAGTAGTGCACAAACTATCAAGTTTGCCATCACAGTTGCATAAAAATTTCAATTTCAGATAACAATTTCACTACATTTGAAATAAGAGTATTGATATTTTAAAGAACTTGCATACACTCTAAAATGCAAATGAAACATAGATTGGTCAGATGTATAATCAAACAACACAGTATTTCAGCACTAGAATAAGGCATACATATGGGGTTAACTGTAAGACAAAACTTTTAGCAGCTTCTGGCGGCAGCAGCCACATGCTGAACATTCTTTAAAATAATATACGATCAATTATCAGAAATATACAGTTTGATTGACACAAGGACAGAAATCATACAAACAGTCCGATCATGCTATTGCTCAATCCGGTATATCCTCCATGGGTCTACTTGAACGGTCAATGATGTGCTCAACTATAAAATCTCTTTTGATTTTCCCCACAACTCTGGTAACTTTTACCACATCTGATGTGTCTTTAATACGACATACAGTCCCTTATCCCAGCCCAAAAAGAAAGAAAACCCTCAATATGAAGCTACACTTCAACTGTTATTGTGGTCATCCTAGGTTCAAGATTAAAACGAATTCTCTCTGCTTCATAAACCAAGGAATATGCTTAGTCTTAAATCAAACTTGTAGCAATTTTTGTCCCTCCAAAAGCTGAAGTATCAAATTAGCTCAACAGAAGGTCAACAGCTAGACATAATTAGAGAGGTGGAGAAAACTCAAGTCCCCGTTTCAATCTATTTTTACTAGTCATTAAAAAAAAAACAGTGGAATTAGACACCAAGCAACAGGATACAGAGCCATTCTACTAATCTACAGAAAAATAAAATATAAAAACACATACCTGTTTCAATTTGCCAGTGAGCTCAATCATTCGACCCTGAATCTCTAAAAATGCCTGTTATCCAAGACACGTCAATAACACCCATGAGATTTCATTTTTTTCAACTTTACCAGCAATCAAATCAAAAGAAGACTTGTTTGGAAAACAACCCAGATGAGAAGTTTCACTTCTTACAGTTTTGTTAACCTCGTCGGCCATAGCTGAAGATTCAAGCACCCGAAGTCAGCACCTACTGAAAGAGTTTTGAGCGATTAAACCCACATATATATTAGCATCGAATATAAGAAAGTACAATAATTTAAGAAAATAAAAGCACATTTCTTAATCAAAATTCTATTTGTAAATTGAACAAAATTAGAGTAAAAAGAAAAGGGGTAGTGAGGTAATACCCGTATGACAGAACTGACTTTGTATTTGGGGCTTTCCGGCTATCGGGTCTGGTTAAGGTAAACCGGAAAAGGGTGGAGAGGGATCGGAGAGTGGGAAAGGAATAGAGTAACGCCGCCGTGAAAGAGACAAGATGGTTTTGTGATACGAGGATTTTATAGCACTCTCTATCTTACGCCCGACACTCTCTTCTCCCTATCCGATGGTTAAGATGACAGTGCATTTTTTTTTTATAACATTTTGAGGTCTAATTTCTTTTTAGTAAAGCCTTTTGGGTCTAACATACTCCATATTGTAATCCTAATATTAATAGTAATTCTCCATTCCAATTCGAGTTATGGGTAATAGTTGGTGCATGAGTTTCGTATTCAAAAATTAAAATTTTTATTTTTTAAAAAATAAAAAATAATAATTTCTCATTTATTCTATTGATTTTGTTTACACAAAAAAAATTAAACTTTTGTTTAATTTCTAGTTATAGAGGAAATGATGTTGATAGGGCAATTGATAGATGCTTGCGTGATTGGCGTTTTGATAAGTTTTCACTATCACAATAACTAATGTTATTCAAATGATGTTGCAATAACATACTTAAAGAAAAAGTTCGATCAATTAGGAAATAGTATTGTACAGGGCATTCTTCATTTAAGATGCATTGCACAAATAATCAATTTAGTTGTTAGTGATGGATTGAAGGAATTTAATAATTCATATGCTTATATGAGGAAAGTAGATAGATATTTGAGACAATCATTATTTAGGTTGCAAAAATTTAAGGAGTGTGTTCATATTGAAAAGATTACCACCAATAGTTGGTTGTGCTTAGATGTTAGCTTTAGGTGGAATTTAACATACTTAATAATGGTGGATGTGGCTCAAAATTTTGAAAAGGCCTTTGAGAGGTTTGATGAAATGGATTCTTTTTATAGAAGTGACTTATTGTTGGGAGATGGGTATCCTGAAAATGATGATTGGGCAAATGTTAAGAGATTAGTCATTTTTTTTGTAGCTTTTTTATGATCTCATTATGAAAGTTTTAAGTTCCTCATATGTTACTTCTAATATTTTCTTTGGGGAAATTTGTAAAGTATATTGTTTGTCGCATGATTGGCAATTGAGCGCTGATGTTGGATTTACTTTAATGGCTAGAACAATGAAAGAAAAATATGACAAGTGTTAAAAGAATGTGGACAAAACGAATATGTTGTTGTATGTTGCGATTGTTCTTGATCCTAGACATAAATATGTTTTTATAGAATATTGTTTCGGAATAATGTATTCATTGAGTGACGTTGATTTGATGATCACAAAATTAAAGGAGGCAATGTGGGAATTGTTCAATCATTATAAAACAATGATGTAGCCCTCGCAATCTCAGCTTGTAATGTTTTGGCAATGCCTATATACACGGTTACTTTAGAATTTGCTTTTAGCATTGGTAATTGAGTTTTTCATGCATATAAGAGTTCTTTAACTCCTAAGTTGGTACAAGCTTTAATTTGTGCTCAAGATTAGTTACGAGATCCATTACATTCGAATTCAAGTTTTGAGGCAAAAAACAAGGGATTGAAAAAAGTCTATTTAAGTAATATTTTAAATTTACATACTTTGAATCTTTTTCAAAAAAAAAAAAAAAGTTATTATTTCTTGATTTTCCTTAATTTTTGTTTATCTTACTTTACTTTATGTTATATTTGTCTATGCATTTGTAGATCTTTCAAGAATTGCTTTGGAGGCGACTACTGATTGATGGACAAAGAAAAATCAGTACTTGTTAATATTTGGCAATTGACATGTTCACTTTAAAACTTTTTAATATGTGTAGTTGTGATCAATTTGATGTTTGTTGAATGCTGATTTCAGAATTTAAACTTTCAGTTAATTGGTTGTACTTGGAGTTGAACTCTTTGTATTTTTTTTTTTTTTTGCTTATAAACTTATGAAGTTTTAATATGTACTTTGTTGTTTGATAATTTTTCTAACAAATGTTGGGATTATTTTAATGTTCTCGTGATTGGTATTTGTTGTTGGCTAGTTTAATTTCAATAAATTTATTATATAAATTTAAAAAAAAAACTGAAAAAAAAAAGCCTTTAAGGCGGTCCATTTGGTTAAGTAGGTTAATGGTATTTCTTGACTGAATTAACCAAATGCTCCCCCCACCTTCGATTACCTATTCTATGAGATCCCTTCTTCCTTGTCAATTTCCAATACCCTTCCACTTAACTTACCTGCTCTCGGCATGGCTTCACATCTTTCAATATCACTAATTGATGCTCGAACCTAGTAGTCCTTACCATTCACTTTAATGTTCAGAGTTTTTTACCTTCATTAAGATGACCACATAATCTAATCACCTCCACCTTTCTTTGATGTCTTGGTTCCATCTTACTATTTTCTTATTTTATTTTATTTATTGATTTAATTTTCAACAAACACAACTCTTTTTTTAATTTTCAATGGTTACAATTTTTTTTCTATTTCGATATAAAATTATATTTTTATTTGAAAATGTCCAACACTTTCGTCAAAGTCTTACACAAATATGGGCATATTGACTGAAACCATGGTTCAAACATACCATGTAATGGTTCAGTAAAACCTCCATTTACCTTTTTATCTTTGAAAGTTACAATGATGTGTATTACCCCGACTAGCTTGACCTGTGCTATTATCCCTTCTCGAAACTGCCCCACAGTTAATGGTACTGAACTCCTTAACTATCCCGCAGCACTTCTTCCCAGCCATTCTAATTCTTCTTTAGTAATAACCACTCTATTAACTCTTTTGACATTTGTCACTCTTTTCCTCCCCTCTTGCCTTAATAACTTGCTTTGCTTTGTTGTTAATGTTTGCAATCAGGGATTCCTTGTATGTTCTATCCCCACCACTAGAAGTTCCTTCCTTTTCCTTCTTAGACTTGACCTTGCCTTTAGACACATTTCTTCCTCTAGGTTTATACACCTCCATAACCCTAATATGTTTGTCCTATCATGACCCAATTGGATTACCCTTGCGAGTTCGCTGCCAGTCCAATACTGTACAAAGGCATACTTGGTCTTAATGACTATTTTGGGATGAGGACATCTACTCCAAAATCATTAAAAAATTCTTTTAACTAATTCCATTCCATAGCATTACTAAGATTTCCCACAAACGCTGTGAATAAAGTCCCATTGTCTGTTCATTTTGTTTTTTTTTTTTCATTTTTTTAAAAATTTTAATTAAAAAAAAAAGGAAGTAAAAAAAAAAATTAAAACAAATGACATGGTATTTTTTAGGCACATAGTGTGTTTTTATTGATTAATTTTTAACACATCACTTATTTGACTAACATGTTAGTCTCGTCTACAAACTAATGGATGAAAGCAAAATTCAAGTACTTAGTTATGAATTTCCAATCGAATCGAACATTTGACAATAGCTTATATGCCAAATATGCAATTAGTTTTTTTTATCAATGCAACCAAAATTGAAGATGGAAATTAATGATTAATGTTAATGTAGTGAAGGTTACCCAAGAAAAACATTAATCACTTTAATGGTAAGGAATAAGTTCTCCTATTTCTTAGGTATGATAGAAATATAAAAAAGAGAGTGAAAAAAATGGAAAGAACCAAAAATAATTAGTGGTCTAAGGGAAAATAGGAAGAAAAAAAAATTAATGATGGTTTATGAAAATAATATTAAAAAATCATTATTATGATATACATCATTAAATAAAATAAAAGCCATACTTGAATGTTAGTGAAATGAATGAAATGAAATTCATAATTATATGTAACGTACTAAGATGAATAATTGTTACATAGTTGGCAAAATTCTAATTCGAAATGAAAGGATCAGTAATATAATTGACACAAATTAAAACCTAAAATGTGTAATTAATGTGAATTACCAATATAGATGTTGAAATCAATTGAAAATCTATTAGTAAAGAGAAATTAGCAGGAAGAAAATAAAAAGAAATAGGCAAAACAAAAAGAGGCCTCTTGTATAACTTTTCTCATTTATAATTTCCACCTTTGTAATTTTACTTTCTTTATATTTAGATATAAAATAAAATAAAACCTATTTTTTAATCTTTTCTCATTGTCCCCTTTTTTTTATTTTTACTTTCCTTTTTTCCTATGAATACTTTTCCCAAAATAAATTTACATTTTGGACATATTTTATATGTTTTTTTTGGTTAAATATATAAGAATTACATCGTTTTTAAATGAAAAAAAAAAGAGTTGAATTGCAGCAAAACAGAAAAAAGTATTCACAAAAGAAAACTAATAATTACAATTTCTTTTTCATAAAGGGTGAAAATTTCAAAAAAAAAGAATATATTTATTTTATTATTCCCACATTTATAGATATCTTTTTCTTCTTTATTGAGTGGGATTGCCCACATGGTGGGCTCTTCTCTGACATCTACAACACACAAAATTAATCCCTCACCCTTTCCATAATCTCTCTTCCTCCTCACCAAACAACAGTAGCCAGCTCACCACCACCAACCATATTACACACACAATTGAAAAATACAAAAATCTTGTACACTTAGGGTAATCAGCAACCAACCAGGGACTGACCATTTTCCTCCCCTTTTGATCATGGAATTTCTGCATGAGAGGGGGAAGAAACACCAAGACATCACACCAAAAATATTTTATGTTGCTAATTTCCATCTCCCCATCTTTGGCTGCATAAACCCATCTGGAAAAAAGAACAAAAAATATAAAAAAAAAAAACTAAAATCCTATTGTAGAGAGCAAATCATCACATCTCATTCAAGGACTTTATACTATGCTGGTTCACCTGCATTGGATCAGTAATTGAGTAATTAGTAAAAATTAACTGTGCTAATCTTTTTCTTTTCATTTTTTTTTTGTTCTTGTTTTTGCTGGAATGAGATACTTGACTTGGACACAAAGTTAGATATAGAAAAGGAAAGATTTATTTCATTATGATTCATCATTGAATTTGTAGAGGCCAAAAACCCAAAAAATCTGCAGGGCCAGAAAGATCCACCAATTCTGTTGTTGACCTTTGAAATCATATGCTGGGCAGACACATTAAATGTATTAAATAATAGTACATGGTTTTACCAGGGTGGTGTAGGTACCTGGATCTAGCTGTAGGGGTTTCTACTTTCTCATTTATAAAAGAAAACCAGATGCATAGACAACTAGCTAAAACTGTTAAAATTATGGTGGCAGCATTGCATGGTTAAGGAATG